CTTGAACAATAAACCAAGAACTAGGATTTTTCTTGGAATTGGCATAACCTTTCATCCGTTTTCTTGAACTTGTTGGTGTGATCTGAATTTGTGTTCCTTGAAGAGCCGAAAAAAAAAGGAGCAAAAAAACGAAAGAAAAAAAAAAGGAAAAAGAGAAGGAATTGGCTCTCATACAAAGGAAATCAAGTTTTCAAAAAAAAAAAAAATCGTGAGTTTCCAATTCTTGGTGGGTTCCCAAATCTTGGTTAATCTCCAAATCTTGGTTGATTTCCCAAAACTTGAGTTTCCTAATCTTGATTGGTTTCCAACTCTTGAGTTCCAATCTTGATTGAATTCCAGAGACCCTAAACGACCTCACCAGCCCCAAACACACCAGATTCTGTTTTCAAAACCAAACCAAACACCTTAGCCCCAAACCGCCTTGGGAGTTCTTGAGTTTCTAAAAACGGTTGAGCTAGTTTTGCCATCCGATTTGACTGAAATTTGAGGACTGATTCATAGATTGTTTGAGCACTCCAGAAACACCATTTACCTTCCAAAGTACTGACCAGAAACTCAGCAAAACAACAGCTAAAAAAAAAAAAAAAAAGTTCCAGTTTCGGGTAGAGTTTTTTCTAAGATTTGTAAAATTCTGCTTTGCGTCTTGTTACTTGCTTATAGGGTAATTAATTCTGGAATTTTTGAGAGTTGAGTTGTCTTAAGAACTTCGAGAAGGAAAATTGAGAGTGAGTGTGTTTTCCTTGAGTGATACACGAGTGCTTTGCAAGATCGACTAGGATACACTTGTTTTGCAGGTTAGACAATATGTCTCAAGAGGGGAACATGCCTGAGCCGTTTGAGACCGACGTGTCACTCAAACTGGTGCTCCAAACTCTTCAAAAACAAGCGGAGAGACATGAATTTGCGATGGAGAAACATGAATTTGCGATGGCACAAATATCCGACAGGTTGGCTGCCATTGCGATGCGAGGTACCGGAGATACACACCATAGGGTTTCGAGTGTTCAGAGTGCTGATCATGATGCGGATGATGAGGGGTATCATTCTAACACCTCATTCCGATCAAGGAAAAGCCACAGGGAAGCGAGGGAAGGCCGAGACCGACCTAGGAGAACCAATGACAAGCTTGGTTCCATCAAGACTAAGATGCCTACCTTTCATGGGAAAAATGATTCTGAAGCTTATTTAGATTGGGTTAGGCGAGTTGAGCAAGTGTTTGAAATCCACAATTACTCCGAAGAGAAAAAGGTGAAACTTGCAGCTATTGAATTTCAAGATTATGCATCTATTTGGTGGGAGCAAGTATGTGCCACAAGAAGGAGAAATAGGGAACAACCGATTGCCACTTGGACTGAAATGAAGCAAGTGATGAGGAAACGATTTGTACCCTTCCATTATACCACAGACTTGTACAGTCGAGAGAACGAACATAAACTCAAGCAAGAGAATGAATCTCTCAAGAGGAGGGGTTCCATGCAATCTACCTCTTTAAAGCCGGTTTATGCAAGAGGTGATAAGAAGGTTCATTCAGCATTTTCTAAGACTAAACTTAGAGTTGAACCACCTCATGCGGAGTCATTTTGGGAGACATATCAACGTCTTCTACACCAAAAACAAATGGAGTCAAATGGATGCTATCAAAGTGAATCAAAGTGAGTTTTCTAAGAAGGAGATAGCTGACCCTATTCCCAACAAATGAGTATCTCATCCTATTGAACCATTTGTTGAGGAGGTTGATGATGAGAAAACAATCGAGGGCGTAAAACTAGATAAAGAGATGGAAAAATCTGATGAGATGAGTGGTAAAAAGGAAGAAAAGAGAGAAAGTGAGACGATTTTGAGCAAAAATGTGAGGGCTTATTGTTTTTCTAACGAACTTACCTTTGCTTTATTTAGTGTTTCTTCATTTTTGCAGATTAAACAAAGTCAAGTGAAGTTAGTCATGACATGCTCCATTCCAAAGTCACTTGTACAATTCACTAGTTTCCATGGAGTTTGTCTTTTAGGAATTGAATCTATTTGGAATCATCTCATGGAACAATTTCAATTCAAATCTGTCCATACCAAAGGGGAATCACGTCAAATCCACCATGAAGGGAGAATTCCGAAATTTGACTCTCATTTACCAGTACTGGTATAGGCAACCCTAGGGGATGACCCTCCTAGAACCTCCCAACCTTATAATTATCAGAGTTGGATCTTTTCTCCCAACAGAAATTGAACTCGATTGTTCTCATGAATTCAAGACCTCTGACACACAAAGGTAATCAGTAACCTTAAGCAAATAAGGATGGATGAAGCGACACCACGATTAGGGAACAAACTAATCGATAAAGTCAGATTTGAATCCTAAGCAATGAACTCAAGAATTCAAGAGTAAGTTCGATTAAGAACTTGAAGGAAAATTCCTCACGATTTCTGGTTGTAAATAATCTCTGTCTTTTACTCTTACAAGAGGTGCCTTTTTATAGGCTAAAACTAGGGCAAAATCCGGCCCACATAAACCTGGAAGAGATTCGGTCCGCATAAAAGAGCTTAAAGAGCTAGCTCTTTAAGGCTTTCCGATAAGGCTCGATAAGTAATAAAATACTCAACGCCTAACAACTACTAAACGGGACAGTCTTAAAACAACTACCAACTAAGCTAACAAGTATGAGATCACTCCTTTACTTCAAACGTACAAGTGAACAAAGTAACTTCATGGTCCATCAAATCTTCAAACTTAGCTTGTTCCTTGCTTGTATGGTGAATGATCAAGGCTTGTAAAGTTTCCTTCACCCTCTTGGATCTTGATCTTGTCATCGGACCGCCAATGTGGACCAAAGGATCCTTGACCCAAGGTTGAAGTTAATTATTGCACACCCGTATCCGCATCAACAATCTATACCTGAATACTGCAAAGATTGAATTGCCTTGCACTCCTTTCTTTCCAAATGCAGTAAACAGCAGCTGCATTCACTAAAAGCAGAATTCTATACAATGAGGCTTTTCCACATGCATGCAAACGGGTAAATAAATGATAGTACACCAAAATTCAATTGAACATCCTATTAGTCGACATGGCCAATCGATACGGCATAACATCTTGTTTTTTACTGACCAAATGATTTTTAAAACCTTTTAGCTTTCTTGTTGATATGTTTCTCTATGCGCATTTAATCTGCAAGGGAATAGTTACTGCAGAATTGTGGGTACATTTATACGAAACACTTCTGAGCTAAATACATTAAGCTATGCTCTTTAAATGGTTGAAGAATTAAAATTTTCATGAGCAAATGATAAGATTTTTAAATTCTTGATGACATGTAAATTTCAAGAAGGTAAACTGCAAATTTTAAAATTGTTGAGAGCAAATAGTAGAATTTTAAAGGGCAAATTACACTTTACCCCCATGTGATTTAGTGTTTGTTTACATAACCCCCTAGGGTGTCAAAAACTATCTCCTATGGTTTCATGATTTGGATTAAAATGTCAGAGTGACGTAATTTACAATCCATAACGAAATCAACTAAAATATCTAAAATACCCCTTTGTAAAGTTTTAAATTATTTATTAACCACAGGAGGGTTGAGTATATATATTGAAAACCAAAAGAGAGTTATATGGTAAAACACTAAAGCATAAGAAGGTTATATGGTAAAATATAAAACCATATTGGGTTAGAGAGTCATGCATATTATGTTTATATATTTTAATTACTTCAACCATTTTAGATTTTAAAGAAGGGTAATTTCGATGTTTTTATAAGTTTTGTTACGGATGATCATTTCCATCATTTTGACACTTTAATGCAAACTATAAGAAGGTTATATATAGCTTTTAAAACTCCAAGGGGATCATATAAAAATTAGCTATACCACATGGGGATAAACTATAATTTGCCCAATTTAAATTCTTGATCCGTCCAACAGTACAAGTGGAATCTCCAGTGAATCCAGATACAAGAGCATTGCGAAACTCGTATAAAATGCAATGAATTCACGGAGAAATTGGAAATTTTCATGAATTGAAAAGCTTATACACAATATTTATGAGTTCAGACAGAAATTGGGAAAGTTTCATCAATTTGAAAGATGAAAAAAAAAAACTGTTGACATAATAAAGGATGAATGTTACATGTACGATTACAGTAAAACCGAGCATGACTACAAGTGAGAAAAAACTCGACCTGCCCTTCGGTGTTCGGTTCCGTGGTTGTAGTCCCAGTTGGGGAAGAGCCACGTCCAGGGATCGAGTCCCCGGGTTTACTTGGTCAGTGATGTTGGGCAGCCTCTTCCGGCCATGCAGTGGGGATTAGTTGGGTCGTACGGTATTACCAGTCCATGGACCCAAATACCCCACTGCGTTGACAAAAAAAAAAAAAAAAAAAAAAAAAAAAAAAAAACTCGACCTTACTTAATGGCATATTTTGGCTTCTCCTTTTGTTTAAAGAAAAAATCACGATTGAACCTAGATATAAGACCATTACAAAGCTTATAAAAAAAAAATCATGATGAATTTATAGAGAAATTGGGGAAGTTTGGTCAATTAAAAAGATGAGAAAAAAATTACCAACATACCTAAAAGGATGAATTTACATGTAAGAGTAAAGGTTCTTTTGATAACCATATCAATGGGCATGAATTTACTGTTAGATATATTAAAAAAAAAAAGATAACATTGATTTAAGAGTTTGTATTATTGAATGATACGGCAAGAGTTAATTGAATAACAGAGCAGGGATGGTAAAATTTTCCTAGAGTAAAATCAGACTCGATAATAAAATGTAAGCATGAGAAATTAATTTTCTTCTGTCTGTGCTGGTCTCATGTACAATATTTCATGCAGAAACTCCGACTGAACCAACGCCTACATCCATTGCCATTTGGCTTTGCACAGAAACACGTGTTAACAGAACACATCACTCTTTTGCATGGCAGTCTTGGTGTTGATCTTCTAGCACTAAATGTCAAGATAGCTGCTTCCATCACCGTTTCCTTGTTTTCCTTCTTTTTCTTTCTTGTTAGTTTCTTCTTCCTGGTGCTCTTCTTAGCTTTTCTCTCCTCGTCCTTCGCTTGACACCAACATAATCCCAAAAAATAAAAGTAAAAAAAAAAAGAATTTTTTTTTTGAAGCTAGTTCTTGGTAGATATGGATTTGATAAACTCCGTCTTGAATTTGGTGGTGCCACCTGCAAGTTTACTTATGCTTGCCTTTGCATGGCCAACTTTGTCATTCATCAATGCTTGTGAATGGCTGTACAATACTTACTTCAGTGAAGAGATGGACAACAAGGTGGTTGTCATCACCGGAGCTTCTTCTGGGATTGGAGAAGTAAGCCCCCTACTTCAGAAATTTTGTATCTACTTCTAGTTATTCCATTGTGTCCAAGTTTTCTAGACAATTTAATTCTTGAATTGGATTTTTTTTTTTTAAATTTCCTTTTAATAGCTTTTGGTGGGTGAGAGGTTGACAGGTTTAGGAGCTTCTGATAACATAACCGGGATACCAGGTCCTTCCATTTAATTTCGGATGCCAACTGCATAGAAATTTTGGGTAAAGAAATTTAGCATCGGGGACTTTTATTTGTAAATTGAGGTGGGGATTTTATGGTATGCTGTTGAATTTTTCCTCTCACACATTAGTGTGTGACAATTTGGCACAATCAATACCACACGGCCTTACAGTTCAACCCAATTCTTGGATGGAACCTTTTGCTGATCATGGTAATTGCAGCACTGCAGTCCACATAATCTGTATCTTCCATTTTGACGTATCATTTGTGTTTATATTCACATGATTTGCCACAAGGTTGGTCAAGTTGGATTGGTCATGGATGCCCCATATTTTCCGAATTAGAATTTGAGGTGCTAAGGCAGGGTGACCAGAACAACAATTGGAGGTTGCATAACTGGAATCCACACACGTCCATTTCGCAGAAATAATGCACTTAGACGCATTTATTACGCACGTAAAATGATCCAAGGAACCATTGCAGAGTAAGACCAAGGAAGTTTCATCTACGCTCTGCCATAGTATTCTGCTGATATTTGAACAAAACCATTCATGAAACAAGTAATGGACCTAATTTTGTCCACTACCTATTAGTAAAAGGCGCAGTAGTGATTAGTGATTAAATGCATCAGGCAGAGTGGTAGAAAAGGGGTAACTGGACTGTGAAAGAACATACAAGTTCATAGGAATACACTGTCCACAACGAAGTCATCTAGCTTAATTGGGAGGGTGCTATCTAGCTAGAGGCACCTTGTGTAGGTTGTAGCATTCACCGGAAGTAGAAGCAATTTCACCTAGGCAACAGTACATAGCCAGCTAATACAACATTTCTTGTTTCCTTTCTTTGAAATCTATACATTTCTCTTTTCCAATGCAACCATGGATGGCACTCAGTGAAAACACAGGCAGAAATTTTTTTAAAAAAAATCCACAAACTAATTTCCTCTGCTTCATGCTAGGGGTTGTCCTCACTCATTTACATGACTAATTAATTTAAAATTTTTTACATCTGGAATGATGGATAACTAATTTTCCTGCATTTGCAAACATGTTAAGGGAACTTTACCAGGTTTAGATAATTACCTTGAAGTGTGTTATTGCTTGGATACCAGGTCAGACCTGCTCAATTATGAATAAAAAGAGTATAAACATAAGAAGGATTAACAGCAATGCATGGTAAAACTAATTTAAAACTTCAAAAGGAAATTAATTTCTCCCTGGCCACATTTAATGCAACTTGAGAAATCTTTCTAGACTGAACACTTTCAGATTTTGGTGCGATTATCTGATGTTATAGGTACTAGAAAAAGGGTCATTTTCATTCTTGTAGCCGTCGCATTTCCTCTAGCGAATCATGTCAAGTAACCATTTGAACTGGAAAGGCTATCTAGACTAGCTTTGCTATGAGAGACTTTGTACCACTGCTAGAGTCAGTCGTATATCTTTTCAGCTAAAAAAATTCCAACTTCCGTGTATTTCCTCTTTGATTTCTTTTAACTGTCATTACATAAGAAATGATAAAGAAATTTTATTACCCGATAATGTTATAAACTAAGAACCTTTTCCTGTCACAGCAAATTGCCTATGAATATGCAAAAAGGGGTGCCAATCTTGTACTGGTGGCACGAAGAAACAACAGGCTCCATGGCATAGCTGATAACGCTCAACGTTTGGGCTCAAGGCATGTGTTGATAATGGCTGCAGATGTTGTCAAGGAAGAAGATTGTAGAAGATTCATCAATGAAACTATCAACTACTTTGGGTGTGGTAGGCCTGGAATTGTATTGTTTATTCAACTCATTTTATTCATAACATCATTTAGAAATATTTCATGCTTCTCTAGTGAACATGCCTTACTCGAAGTGCCTTTGCCACTGGTCAGGCTTACCTTTTTCTTAAAATTAAAATGTTCTGAAAGATTAAGATGAACTTGAAGGTCAGTTCTAGAGACAGTGTGCACGTAAGGTATAGTGCCTTTACAGCAGCATACAAAGGTTGTTATCATGATAATACATCTGAGGCTTAAGGAAACTTTTTATATAGTCCAAAATAAAAGATAAAAGAACTCCAGAATCCTACCTTGTTTTCTAACCCTTGCATGTCTACTTCCTTGTTATGCACGATCAACATGGGAAGACTACCTCCGATACACAGCTCCTGACTAATTTATTATCTGAACCAAGTTATTTTGCCTACTACGTACTGTTGGACCCTTGAAATGCTGCATTCTCACTGCAGTGGAGCTCTGTTTATTGGTGGACATAAATGAATCTTTTGTGACCAGATTGTAACATCAACAGAGTATCTGTTGGCTCTTTCCTTTTGCAGTGGACCATCTAGTAAACACAGCTAGCTTGGGGCATACTTTCTTTTTCGAGGAAGCTACAGATGCATCAGTATTTCCGATTTTATTGGTAAGATATTACCATCAAATATCAAGTGCATCTTTTGATAGTTAACATGTTGGATGGTATGGAGGGAGGGTGTGTAAGTGAGAGATCCCGAGTTCGAGACCTCCCACTTACACTAAGGAAAAAAAAAATGTTAACAGCTTCTGAAATTTGCTACTCTATGATTTCCATAGAAATGGTTTTAAATTGTACACGTTCTTTAGCTCAAGGAGGTGTTCCTCAAATCAGCTTTTAAATTTTAATATTGTTATTGAATCTACTCATTTTTACCAATTTTCTCTTCTTAAGAGTCTTGACAGTTGATCCTGCATGTAATTGACTGCAGTAAGTCACAATATTATGACATCTAATTGTCTCAGGACATAAACTTTTGGGGGAATGTGTATCCAACCTATGTGGCTCTGCCTTATCTCCGGCAAACTAATGGTCGAATCGTTGTGAATGCTTCAATTGAAAATTGGTTACCTTTGCCGAGAATGAGCTTATATTCTGTAAGTATATATGTACTGTTTCTTCCTGCTAAGGTCTCCTTTAATTTCAAGCACCTGCTGCTGAAGTTGGCATTTCAGGCAAAAGTTGAAAAATCCATCTCTGTGGTTGTAACATATCTGTGCGTTTTTCCTCCTCTCTTTTTTATACGTGGCTTTCTTTCTCATGTAGGCGGCCAAAGCTGCACTTATAAACTTCTATGAAACCCTGAGATTTGAAGTGAAGGATGAAGTCGGCATAACAATCGCAACCCATGGTTGGATAGGGACTGAAATGACCCGTGGAAGATTCATGGTTGAAGAAGGTGCAGAGATGCAATGGAAAGAAGAAAGAGAAGTGAGTTTTTCTCCTCCATGTCATGTTTCCCATCAATTCTTGTTCTAAACCTCATTTTGCAATCGGAGTTTTACAGACTAACGATTTCCTGTGCTCTAGTCTGGTAATACCCATTTCTGAAATTGTTCATGGTGCTAAACCATTTCATCCATTTCCATTCTAGGTACAAGTGACTGGTGGTCCCGCAGAGGATTTTGCAAAGTTGATCGTGGGTGGGGCTTGCCGACAAGCTGCATATGTAAAATACCCAAGCTGGTACGACATATTCTTTGTTTTCAGGGTCTTTTCTCCTAATGTCCTGTACTGGACCTTTCACTTGCTCTCCACAAGTCATGTTTCAAGAAGAACTTCTTTCATCGGCACTGGAAGGCCTCTTTTGGAGGGCTCCCCTCCGAGGAAACTTCTCACTGGTGCAAGTCCTGGTACCTCCTCTCAGTCTCAAGTACCCGTTTACCAGCAGCAGAAAGTGGAATGAGAGGGTTATAGTCATGATCATTATTATTTACCGGTTTTGATGTTTACTTTGTTTTCTTGTGATACTTTGGAGAAATTTGTCTCAGACAACTGTAAAAGAGTATTATCAATTTCTGTAGATGAATAACTCAATAATCTTGTCTGCACATCAAACTTTTTTTCATCCTAATATAGCTTGTAATCAGCTACTGCTGCAGGACATGTTATTGTTACCCATAGGAAAGAAACGACACCTTAAACTAACATGTAAGACAGCTCAAGATTCCTATCACGGGGGTTCTTGAATCCAATTGATTCATGGCAGATTGAATTCTTGGGTACCCCTCAAATTCGTTTTCTGCACCTCTATGAAAGAAACCAGTGTTTTTATGCAACTCCACATTATCTGGAAGGGCTAGCTGCATCTAATCTGCTGTATCATGTACAATGTCAACAAGTCCCAAATGAATTGCACATAGGCAGAAATCCTGCTGGGATTATGGGACGATAATAACTGTTTGATGACACAGTCCCATAATTTTATTGTAATCACTCGGACAGCAAATGGTATAGCTATAAAAATCAATATTTAGTTGCTCTATATGATTTGATGACAAGGGTCCTAGGCTAGGGGCGGAACATACTGAAGCTTGACTACAAATATAGGGAATTGTTTCAGTTTCTGCAGAAACCATTTCCCTTTTTTCTGTATCGAGTCAAACGCACGTCATAATGAGTCCAATCATTAATTGCCCGTGCTTGATTTTGAATACAAAGCATTGAATTGCATGTTACAATCGTAGAGCTTGAACTCCTTGCGTAACTTTCAACAAAGAATTACCTTTCTCGGGGGCATAAAACAGGTTTTGGCAATATATCTAAGCCTGAGAGAATATTACTCAGAGATAATCGTCAACCGAAATGTTCAAAGCTTGATCACCTAATTCTCTGCTGAACTCTTTGCCTTCCCACGATGGTATGTCTGAAAAACCATCATTCCCGCATGGCGAAAACCTTTCCTCCGGTCTAGAATTCACCACATTTTCCTCCACTTTTACGGGAGAATCCGCCGGACGCTTGGCTATTATTTGTGCATCTACAGCCATGCCAGCATCCGTGGCTGCCTTCTGGACGGACCTGGGCGACATTCCTCTTTGAACTCCAGCAGGCAGCATCAAAGGAAAGTTGAAATCATCCAATGATGCATTCTCCCGCAAACAATAGTATGCAATGTCATGTGCCATCGCAGCAGCCTCCGGAGCTGCATAAGAGCCTAGCCAAAGGCGGTCTTGCGTGCCGGGAACTCGAATTTCCGACACCCATTTGCCCCATTTCCGCCGTCGAATCCCTCTAAATCTTTTCTGGGACGTGCTGCAACTGCTGCCACCTTCATCTGAGCTGCTCATTTTGCTAGAATAATACTGGTGTGAAAGTAATGGACTTCTTAAGATAAAATTCGTGTATGGAAAGTGGAGCTCTAGCAAATGTGTGATATGATACGGGCTTTTATAAGTTGAATAGAGCAAGAGGGGTTGACTATTTGTTTGTTTGATTTATTATTTATCGTTAAAAGTCAAAACTTTCAAAGGTCAGAAGCTTGGACCTTGGACAAACCAGAAAAATTAGCTGTTTTTGCCATTTGAAACTTCTAGGACACGTCTAAATTAGAAACAACTGACTGGTGAGATCTCATGTGATCATCAACTTGCAGCTGAGAGGAGATGCGGTCAAGGTGGCGGCTTAGATTTTTTGAGGAGATTTTGAGGTTTATGAATTAAATGCACGTGTATTTATTGCCAAAAAGGTGAATTTTGCCTGTTGCAGGTGACTCCGTCAACGAATTCTACAATTTGCACCGCACAAGCACTAGTTCATAATTTTGGAAAGGAAAAGAAAAGCAATTCATAGCTTTTGTTTTACTAAGTAATACTTTTCTTTTTATTCACCAAAAAGGCAAGCAAACTAAGGCTAAATAATAGACTTTTGAAAATTATAAATATTAATAATGTATTTCAATATTTTATGATTGATTTAAGTGCCTTCTAGAAATCATTTCACAAACCACTCTCAAGATCCTAAATATTCTGTCTACCCTTCAAATATCACACATGAAAGGAGTATATAGTAAACATTTTATAAGTGTATAATAATTTTAATGGTCATGAACTAACTATTACGCTTAATTTTTCTTTTTTATTAAGTTCCATTATTTATTTCTTCTTTTTTTTTTTTTTAACATACAGATAATTGTTCGAGTAAATGGAGAAGTCAAATACACATAGGTCCATATCCAAAGAAATGGCACTATGTGTCCGGCCTTTTCTAGTCCTGGTTCTCTCTTTTAAAGAACACACAAGATCCTTGTGTATGTACTGCTCGTGTTGTGTTTGGATTGCATTTTTCATGATTTTTCATAGAAAAATTACTGTAACGATTTGATGTATGTGAGGAAAAAAGGTAATAGGGAAATGTGATCACGGAAAACGACGTAATTTTTCGATGGAAAACCGCAATCCAAACAATCCCAAATCTCAACATACACTCTAATTAATAGCATAATCAATTGAGCTCTATTAATGCGGGTAATGTTCAGGGTTGTAAGTTACAAACAATCCTAGAGGACATTAAGGCCCTAAAGAATAGCTTTGACAGTTGCCTATTCTCTTTTGTTCCCAGAACTGCGAATAGGTGTAGTCATGCAATGGCTCAGTTTGCAACCAAGGTGATTAGAAACATTGATTGGGATACTTCTTTCCCAGCATGGCTAACTGATCTAGCTAGAAAAGATATGGGGGTAGTTATTCCTTTTTGTAATTAACTCTTGTATTTTCAAGTGTTAATATCTATAAACTGTTATCGTTTGTTAAAAAAAAAAATTGAGTAAATATCTAAATCAAACACAGATGGTTTACGGGATAGGAAGATTTGCAAACAAAATTTCAAATTTTTTTTCTACTCACATCATAAATACAATTTTCAATCACCTTTTTTTTATCTCTCATACATCACATCACATCACATAAAGTATAACAGTAATTATCTCAAATAAATATTTTAAATAACCTTCTATCCGAACAAGCTCTGGACAATAAATCTAAGTAATTGAATTTAGATAATAAATTAAGTATAAGATCGATGTATACGATAACGTAGGGCTAACCGTATGCCAATTGCCACCACGTCATCTCAATTTGAATTTATACGCATGTTACTTAATTAATACGCGTAGGACATCCTTCTTCGAAAGAAAAATCAATTATGAGTGTCACGAGATTTGTAAGTCGTGACTATGTTTTGATGCATGTGGGGGTGCAGAGACCATACAATATCCCGTCCTGTGACATCAGTGGGGGCTTGGGTTGGTGGGTCAGTGGAGGACCTGTAAAACCTCGGCAGAGTAAACATCGCGGCACGTTGGTATCGAAATTCATCATCTGCTGCGTCACGAAGCATGTCGGTGCAACATGCAACATGGAAAAACGGTTAGTAGGAATTAGGAATTTAGGAGCAGCCCAACTCTTCAGCTGTTTGAAATTTGATCCAAAAATTAAATATGGCTTCCAAGTTTGACACATTCTAATTACATCTTATAATCTTTCATACCAACACTAGTAAATTGCTTTTCTTTTTCTTCTTTCTGAAACCGGGACGGTGGTCCTTATTAACAAGTCGTTCCTTTGTGGGATTTCCAAACTAATTTCATTCACTCTGAAGTCAAATCTACTGTTTAAGTTAGTCTTCCCACACCAAATTGACTTATGATGCACTGTCTATTTCAGCTCCTTGGATGTCGAATGGGGGAATCATAATGGTACTGTATTGTTAGATACAACAATGTATTTGTAAACAACAATGTATTTGTAAACAGTGATGGAGCTAGGAAGTAGGACCCGTGATAAGAGAATGTAACGATCAACTTCAACGTAAATCATGCTCTTAGACTTATTCATATAAGAAATATAGTATATACTTTGATTTTAAAAGTCAAATCATCTTCTCCCATTAGAGTGTCGTTAACGTTTAATTTGAAATATGTCCAAAATTTTTGTTAGAGATAATCAACAAAATATCTTTTTTTTTTTTGGAGGTAAATATAGAATAAGGAGGAAATATATAAAACTTCAAAGGATAAAGGAATTTTCTTAAATTTAAGGGGGGCAATACAACTAAAAGAGAGGGAGCAATTGAATTTGAGGGGTGACTTCAAGGCCATTTTATAAACTTAAATTTGAGGAGTGACTTAAATTTGAGGAGCAATTTTATAAAATTCAAGGGGTGACTTAAAACTCTGGAAAATTTCCAAGGCCATTATACAATTTTATTAAATTTGAGGGGGAGCAATTGCCAACCCTCAATCCTATGTGGCACCACCACTGCCAGTAAATGTTAGGACTAATATCACATCATGCCCTTGAAGTTTTTCTCTCTTTTTTTTCCACTTTCCAGTTTACACTTGAAGTTTTGTTTGGACTGTTTGCATTCTAAAAGATAAGTATCCAGATTAAGGGCTTCACAAATCAACTTTTGTCCAATTTAAATAGGTTTATATAATTCTTTTTACATTTGGTGTAAACTTGTACAATTTTGATGTAATCACCAGCTTAGTTGTATGAGTTGAAAAATTCAAATTTACCCCAAAATTATATGAATTTATACCAAAAGTTATAAGAATTGCATGAAATGATTTGAAACTCAACTTGTGAGGCCCCTTGTGGGAATTGAGAATCCAAACGAAATGTCTCACATCAAATTGTCAACTTGTGAAGAAGAAAAAATTGGTATATATGCTTGAACCCAATTAAGCTGTTAGCAACTTCACGTTGACCATTTTGAATCCAATACTTTGGGCCAAAAAGTTATTCGACCAGTCCAAGGAATAGAAGCATTATAATTAATATCAAAATGAACTTCACACAGTCTTTATGTAGGGTGAGTCTGAATCAATGTGTTATAATTTCGACTATACGAGAAAAAGAGTGAAGAAACTAAGTGTTAGGTAGAACTAAGCCACCTCTAAAATCCCTTAATTACATTAGGCAGGGGCTATATCTAGAATCCTAGCAGAAGTGAGTAGACAATTTGGATTAGCACGAAGAAAATACTTCGCATATATGCTTGAACCCGTTGAACTATTGGTAACTTTAAACAAACTATTTTGATCCCATAGTTTCCGCTCAAAAAATTATTGGGCCAACCCAGTGAACCCAAATCTCGCGACCCTGATCATCAAGCATCCTAATCTAGGCGAACCATTGTCCTTTCAATTAGGAGTTTTGCATTAACCAATGAAAGACATATCAGCAATTGACTAGTTACCGCATAGGTGGCATTTTCCGTGCTAAATTTTAGCCTTTGGGGATATTAATCATTTTATATAACGCGCTCGCTTTAGTTGTCTTTTCTCGTGCAATTGATATTTGAATATAAACTTTAGGATAAGAACCCAGTACAATTGTATTTTATGTGATTCCGTTCAATCGTTATATATGTTTAAATTTTTAATATATAAATATATCATAATATCATACTGAATATATGTTAAATATTTTATTCATGTACGCCACTTTTACCTCGAATACAATAAGTGGACCAAATCTAACCTGAGTCCAACTGCACAGCCCTCTCCCGTTTTAAGGTATTGATGACAACCGGACGTCAATTGTGTTCACATGGTCTAAAGGAATGTCAACGTATAATCTCTACGCTCCAATTATTTCCATCAAAGGGTAAAATCCCGAGAACCAGCCTAATAGGCCGATGGCAGTCGGGCAACTCAGGAAATGCAAAAACAAAAGCAGCCGCAGCTTAAAAAGAGTTGACAAGTGAAAGTCCCGGCCAGTGGAGAAAATGTGAAACAGAGTGAGAGACTCTGCACCAGATTTATATCCAGGCAAGAGTTTGGTCATACATAACAATCAAGAGGAAAAAGAAGGGAAGATTTTGCTGATTTAAATGGATGTAAGTTTCAGAAGACAACAATGGCCAATGAGGAAGAAGAATACAGAATATGATATACAGAACTAATCATATGAGAAAATGAAAGCCGATAATTCGTTCATATGGCTACAGCTGTGTCAATACTTTTGATTATTGAATCATATACAAGAATCATCATTAGTCTCATACTTTGGAATCAAAGTAGTTTGGACAGAATACAGAAGTTGTCAAGGTATGAAAGCAAGTACTATGAATGTTCTTGGTTCACCACAATAGCAGTACGTGGAAATTTTTTCCATCATGTGAGATTCGAACAGACTCTCAATTGAAAGCATTCGAAATCGAATAAATGAAGTCCAAGAACCCTGTTCCCTTAAGTAGGCCTTTCCCAGTCAACAGCTCGAAATCTAAAAGCAACAGAAAACCAATAATTGCTGCCTTTCCATTTATCAATTCATTTGTCCCTGTGAATCCAAAGCCTTCCAGCTCCTCATCAACCACCATTCTCACCTGAGAAGGATAACAGAATCTTAAAAGTTAGAAAGTTGCTCTCCTGTCTTGACTAGAAATCACATGAATAATGTAGAGCTGTGCTGTTTATTACCTCTTCGACATTGACATCAGTTGCTGTTAAACCAGGTTGAGCTTTTCCACTGAAGACAATCTCTGCAGACGCATCGCTTGCACCACCTTTTAAGCTTATGTAGATATTTTCACCTTCTACTTTCACTGGATAAACAAATAAGTTTCTTAAAGCCGGAGTCAGAACCCTCAGCACGGGATTATTAGGATACCACTCTTTAATAGCTCCAGTTCGCAGATCAAATGTGCTATCAGTTGTTGGGCAAACTATACAGCCATCCTGTATGCAAGCACCAGGTTTTCTTCTTTAGTCTCTAATCATTTGGTAGGTGTATAAAATAAAGATCACAGAAAGAAAACTATCTGGTCTCGCGTGATAAGATCACTCAGCGTATCATATCCCCCTACCCAAAAAACAAAGACTTTGCTAACAGTAAACCAAATCCTTAACATGTCTCTCAATCCATTACGAGTGTAAAACGAAATATATGCATATGCACATATTTATACAGGACACTTCATTTTACGCATGCTAATACTTGGATATACCCTGAAATTCTCTTACAGGAACATCAGCCTAAATGTTGACATAGTAACTGAAATATAATTGCTTCAACTAATAGCAAAATTTTGGTATACAAAATTAAAGGAGAAACCCAAAAATTGGTCATGAAAAAGGTCAGGTAACACGAAATACAGTCATCATTTACATGAAAAATGATAAGTGCTTTATAGAAAAATATAAGCATCTGAAAATGGTTATTAGCATCACACTTTTATCACTGCATGTGCTGCATGCAGCCCCAGAGAGATGGGAGGAAATAAAAGGGTGGCTGGGGGAAGAAGGCAAAGACAGCATCCAATGACTCATCAAATAGAAACTAAAGCCAGTAACATGAGAGGAGAACAAAGAGCTCCCTCAATTGTTGATGAAGAATCTGAAGAAACATTTTGACTCTCAAAACTTATCTATGCAACAGTTTCCTTTTGCCATTTACTTAATAGAATTTCATTTTCAAGATCTATGTTGACAAAACATAAATTAAAACAGGGTCCTAGAAAATATGTTCTTGAAACATTGCCAGCTTCATTCATTTGACTGATTAACTACACAAGACCTCCCTAAGGTTTAAGGCAAATAAGTTTGGCCCTTGACACATGATTTTATTGTTTAACAGCTTTGATTTTAGTTAGAAGAGAAACCTGGGGTCAAAACAAATAAAAGACTGCAGACTTTTTAACTCAATTTCTTTATTCATCCTTCAAATTCCTGATTGCTCACATGAATTGCTGACAAGGTTAAACCCATCTGGAAATGCTGTGTATCTTCACATATGTTCAGCCGGTCATCATAGGTATTGAATAAAAGCATTTGAAGTTATCTTGCTTTCTTATTAGATCACCAAATTCTTGACCTTTAGTGGTGCTTAGAAAAGCAAATTGAAGCTCACATCCATTCATCCTAGTGCTGTAGTGGAGTAAAACTCCAAATCTGACATCCCTTTTACAAGTCCCCACTATAAAAGTTAAAAAACACTAAAAATCTAAAGAAAATTTCCTCCATTGGACCTCTAACTTCTCTGCTGTCTACTTATACACTCAATGCAAGTAGGAGCTTCAATAATGAAAATGAGAGAGAAGGGAGAAGAAGATGATGAGGGAAAGGAGAACCGGTTCACAGCAAGGAGCAGGATCTAACCTTGTATACAAACCTATTAAGTGGAAAAAGGTTGTCCAACTAATAAATGTCAAACCATACTGCTCTTTTAGAAAGGCTTATATATTGGGATAAAATGTTCAAACTAGCTCTAAACATTTCCACCTTGATATTTGGAGGTTTAGCCTATCCTTGTGAGCCAGAAAAATGCCAAAAGATGACTAGTAAGTCAAATTCATAATGTTGCTTCTTATGCCCATGATTTTAAAAGAGAAATTCAATGCAGGTATAGTTCATGTTCACCCTAAAATAGCCGCAACAGTGATAACCACATAAGTGAAAACCATTTAATGTAATTATTTGCTCTCTGTTTTTCAAGTAGCGTGATCCATAATTCTAAAATGATTTTCAAAAGATCACAACCACAAATGTAAGTCAAATGATGACACTTCCAAATCCTTAAAATGAGAATAACATGTGTCTACAACAGACACAGGTACACTCTAAAGGTCTGCAAACTATACAACAGATGGGCCACCACGTGCATTAGTTGATATCTAACCTCTCCTGCAAGTCTAGCAACTCAAGTTATCATTGGGAACCGAGATCCTAAGTAGTGCACTAGGCTAATAGGAAGCCATAGTTAATCTTCAAACAGAACTCCAGAAGAAAATTTAGGTGGGGTTGGGAGGAGGGGGAAGCAAAGAAATTCTCAAAACTAGAAATTATGAGGAAGAAAACAGCAATATTTGCATGAGATTGTTGCTGACAATGTTCATAAAATTACACAAATATATTCAGCAATCACCGGTAGCAAGCATCCAGGTCCTTCCCAAAACTAAATAAACAATAGCATTTGTCATATATCACTAAAAATGAAAACTTCACTGTACAAATGTAACAAATCACACAGATGATCATATCTAAAGATAACTAAACATATCAACGAAAGATTTAGGAAAACATCTCTTTTTCCCAGTATACTTTTGGGTACATGTTAACAACATTACAGAAGCTCTCCCACAACATTCTTGCCCCTAAAATATTTTTAAATTCACTCTCCCCATCTAATGTTCTGCAGCAAATTTCAGTGTTTGCTTACCCTCCAAATATCCCAAGTCCTCTATTAATCTATGTTTCCACCATTAGGAATTTCTAGAGTACACCACAGACCACAATTACATCAGAAACATCTAATACTGCTGGCCACAATCTGACAGCCTAATAAATATAATCAATGAAACAATGATCACCCATCCCATGTCACTATTGCACCCAAAAAAATAAAATCCATATCAGACAAACATATTCCGACAAACAAAACAAAGGTAAAATAAACTAACAACATTAAAAACAGGAGTAAAAGCAAAGGGGAAGAGGCAAAACAAGAATTGCGTACAACCCAATGGTTAAGACAATTATTCCTCATCTTAGAACAAGGTTCAACTCTCACCCATCCATTCTCCCTTCACCCTACAACCTTCCCCTAAAAAGGGCAATCTGGCAATGCAAATTAGTAGCCAAAAAACAGAGTAACTATTAGGTATCATGAGAAAAACCCTTTATACCCAATGCTGAACTAAGGACAAACAATCACTTCTAAAACTAAGGCAAGTGGAAAATTTGAGAGAACCCGTTTAGTCCAATGTAGGTACAAAAAGGTTCGATTAAGCTCGAATTCAAACTCAACTAAGACTCAATTTCATTGAGAGCTCGAGCTCAACTCCACTCGATTACCTATCCCCCCTTTCCTCTTCTTCCTCTCCATTTTTTAATTCAAAAATAGTGAACGAAATTGACCTGAGTGAGTTTGGCATTGAGCAAGCCCTCAGTATAGGCACCTTCAGCCGGGGACCTATTTTCAATAGCAAAAACTTCATCTTTATACCACAGCAGCAGTATAATCTCTCCATCTTGCATAATCACGCGCCGCTCTCCTTTGGGAAGAGCCGCCAGCGGCACCACAGGAACCCAGTTCTCAGTATTGTCCTTAGGAGCTGCCGCAGAGGAGGACTCCTCCGCCTGCACTGAGGAAGAGGAGACGTCAGTGGCCTTACGTGAAATGCTGAGGAGTCTCTTGGGTTTGAAAAATGAGGGTGGTTTTATGGTTGTTAGCGGCGGTTGGCCGTGATGGCGGTGGTGGTGGGATGCAGATGGGACGGTTAAGAAGGCGGTGGTGAGTTTGGAAGCGGCGGTGGCAGCAGCCATTATTGAATTTTTTTTTTAGTTTGTTTATTTTAATTTATTTTTTAGAATAGTACATTTTGAGAGGGAAAAAGAAGGAGGGAAAAATGACACGACAGAAAGAAGACGATGGCCACAGAAATTAGAAAAAGAAGATAATGACAATATAATTAGTTATGGCTCTCAACTCCACTTGTTTTTATTTTATATTTTTGGTTCGTTTCTTTTGTTCTGTTTTTTAATTAATTTTTCTTTTTTCTTTGAGAACGCTTTTACTATTATTATTTTTCACTTTGTCCTTGTGCTCTTTAATTCAGAATGTCAAATTCATAATTCATGGGATAACTGAAAATATGTGTAGATTTCTTCAAATTTGAAGTTTTATTGGGATGTGTTCTTCTTCAAGAATTAAGAATTTCAAACTTTCAAGGTAGCACGAAATTAATATCAGAAAAAAGTTTAGTATTTTATGTCTATTGATTCTTGTTCTTGAAATGTGTTCACATTGGAGATTAATTGGAAAAAATCTTTTATTTACTGTAATGAAAAATTGTGTTTAGTGAATTTCCAAACTATTATGCATGATAAAGATAATTGGTCGATGATTGAAAAAAAATTCATAGAACATTTTTCTAAGTTCACATATTCGATTTTAACCTCGCAAAATACCGTGTAAAATTGTTTGGATAAGTCATTATTTGGTTAAAAAAATTTTGATACATATATATACACACACATATATATATATATATATATATATATATAAGACATATATGTATATCATACATACATATATATATAAGACATATATGTATATCATACATACATATATATATCATAAAAAGTACTATAATAATATATTTTTCAAAAAAATTCAAATTATTTTCTATCCAACACAATCTTCTAGAATAATGTGACAAGTAATTTTTTATTGAAAGGACAACAATAACCCCACAAATAATGTGTTACCCAGAATACCCATTTCATAAATTTATTTTATCTTTTTTTTTTATTATTTCAACCCTGAACAATCTTTCACCTCTTGCCATTATCACTGCAACAAAATACCTACCATTGAACCACCACAATACAAGAAGAAAAAAGTCAAGACTAGATTGTATAAAACTAGAGTAGAGATAGCAAATCAACCCACTTAATTAAATTTACCCATACCCGTCTATGAATAGATGGGTATGGGTATCTTAAATATTTGTATATGGGTATAAATGGGTTATCCAATAATACCCATTTATTAAATGGATATTATTGGGTAACCCATCAAACCCAATTAACCCATTTAGAATTCTCTTTCCCCCAAGTCTCTTCTTTTTCCCCACCCATTTTTTTTTTTCTAATTTTTCATTTTGTCATGATGTTAACTACTTTTGTTTCATTATTATTATTATTATTATTTTTTTTTGTTGGTTTTATTTTATTATTTTATTTTCTCTTAGTTTGTTAACTTGCTCATTAATTTATGACTCTTCTTTTTCCCCACCCATTTTTTTTTTCTAATTTTTCATTTTGTCATGATGTTAACTACTTTTGTTTCATTATTATTATTATTATTATTTTTTTTGTTGGTTTTATCTTATTATTTTATTTTCTCTTAGTTTGTTAACTTGCTCATTAATTTATGATAAATTTTAGCCTATTTTCTTATCTTTCTAAAATGAAATTTTAAATTTATATATGAAAAAAATGTTAGGAGTTCAAAATTTTTGGATTAAGTTTTTATATTAATTTTTATAGTACTTAGTTCAAATTTTTATATTCTTATTATTCAATTATTAAATAATAGGTAATTTTGTGACATAGAGTATAAATGAAAAAAAATTGGTAATTAAGTTTATTGAACATTATAAATAAATATTTAAAACTAATGATGGGTACAAAGAGTGGTATAAATTGATAACTTAGTTTGCAAAAATGAATTTAAATGAGTTTATAAAAAGTTAAAATAAATGGGTTATAAATGGGTAATTGGATTACCCAATTCATTTTTTGACTTACTCATTTATACTCATTTAATTAAATTGGTATAAATGAGTTGACTCACTTATACCCGTTACCCATTTTACCCAACCCAAACCCGCCCAAGTCACCCATTTTGACACCTCTAAACTAGAGCAAAATCAAAACTTTGCATCAAGGCTAGAAACCCATCAGTCACCAATGTAAAATATTGAAGATGCACCTCATAAATCTACACCAAATCTTCAAATAGCAGAACTCATAACACAATCTTATCATAGGTAGAACTATTCACACACTAAGTCAAACTTCAATATGCCGCCAATAAAATAAAAACACTCAATAACATTGACAATAACAGAAATTAGAAGGATAGAACATGATGGAGTTTGGTCCTCTTAAATCAAAAGTGTCAGGAGACTAGCTAGTAGCAATGAGGCTTGGTAAAATTGAAGTGGATTGTGATTTTGGAACTTGAGAAACAACGGATATTTAAAAAGAAGGCACTCAAGAGAGGGAGGTGATGATAGATTTGTGAGATTAGGGGCTTTAAGAGGTTGATTTGAGTAGGAAACATAAAGAGTAATCCATGTTAGAGATTTGATGAAAGGGATGGAATGGATAATAACTTGGTGGTGTGGTTTGGAAGAGAAGGATGAGAAAGTTTGCCAAGTTTTGAGCAGAAAGGAGGAGGAGAGATGTGGCCAATTTGGATAGTTGGTCACTTTTTTTTTTTTGATTAGGACAAATTCGTCACCTTATCTTATTTTAAGCAATCTGTAATGAAATCGGTAGTATAAGGTGCAAATTAGAAATCACTACAATTGATAGTTTAGGGAGCAAGTCGCTAACCAAGTATAATTCAAGGGTGCATTTTGCATTTAACCCTATAAAATCTAAAAAATTATGAACAGATGTGAAATTTATAAGAATATCAAAATGCTTTCTAATAAAATAAATTACTGAAGCTTCATTCTGTTTGTATTGCAATCATCAGATCTACTAATCAATTGCTTTAAACTCCAATCAACTGTTTTAAGCTCCAATAACGATGATGAGATTTATTGAGATAGACTCAATATCCAAAAAAATTTCAGATTTGACAACTAGATTTGAAATAAATTCTGATCTAACAACAAAATAAGAAAAAACTATACAAAAATCTCATAAGAACTATTAGGAGAACAAAAAATTCTTACTAGGAACCCCTAAGAAAAATAACAAAATCTCACTAAGAAATTGTAAAAGAGGCTTTATTAAAAAATAAAATAAAATGGAATCCATAGAAGGGAGACCATGGTACTTCCCCCTCCAAAAAAGAAAGGCCTTTTAAGAAGACGAGGAAGTAGTAAAGAGATGTTAGAGAAGAGGAGAGGTGGTTAGCAATTGGGTGTTGATACTTACATTATACTTGGTTTCCAAAGCATTCAAAAGATTCACCACATACAAAATCTTAAATCAAAGACATAATGCTTGTTGCATCCAAGCCAATTATCAAGCTTCAAATGTGCTACAGATTTTCCGTTCTACTCCCTATGCCACTCACTGTCTCACTTTTTATTATATTACTATTTCTTCTTCATGAACATCATATTTTAGTTTTTTTTTATTTTCTTAAGATCTAATAACTAATAACTAAGTAAAAAATTAAATACAACAGGTTAAAAAAAGCAATATATAATAGAAAATTAAAAACACAGCAGAATTCATAAAAAAATCTCATTTTTATCCATTTTGGTTTTTTGAGCTTGTTAAATTTTGTGTATTACTCAATTAATAGTTATTGGATCTTAAAGAAACAAAAATGAACTAAAACATAAATGTTTATGAAGGAGAAATAGCAATATAATAAAAAATGGGACAGAAAGTGACACAGCGAGTAGGACAGAAGATTAGTTGCGCTTCAAATGCCCTATAAAAGTTACCATTTCCCACCACAACCCAATTACCTATATCATCAAATATCACAAAATTAGAATATGCAAAAAGGCCAAGCATTTAGAAGCTTAATCATGAAAGATCACAAACCCAAAATCGAACATTTCAACTCACCCACTTATCAATTATGGAGATTTTATAGTACTTTTTAGGTATCATATCCACAAATAAAATTCACCACTGGGTCGTGAAAGAAGCATTATTGATCTTTAGAATAAACATTGTTAAATATTTAAAATTTAAACTAATATCTCTGATGAAAATACAAATAAGGGGAATGGTATCAAAAGGAATTATAGAATTTTCCAATCAATTAAAGAACCCCAAACTTTAGCCATCGTAACTATGAATAAACTCAAATACGCAGAGCACAACCACACCCAACCATTCCATTGCTCAAACATATAATTACAAAAGGACAAATTCCATTTCATACTTCTCAACTTGTACCCAGTTTACTGTGTACTTTAAAATCTAATTTTGGGCATTTTGCATCTTATCCTCTTAGCTTGTCTCACTTAAGTCCAATTAACAACAATGCTAGCGAAAACAGACTGAATAAAAGGATCATACACACAACATATGCCTTTGTCAATCTATTAGGAGATAGATCTCACAATCCTTACTAGTCATACAAAAAAACATGTTGGTGCATGCATGGTCCTTTATTCCATTACTTTTCTTAACGTTCGTATTGATGGGGTTTAAGTGAAATAAATCTTACATGCTAGGATACAAAGTATTCAACATTGAAATTTAGGGTCCAAAAATGAAAATGGGGTACAAGTTTAGGAAAGTGGAATTAGTCCAATTTCAAACTTAAACCATTCGTTCTTCACCACCTTATCTTTGTCAATGTCCCTAGTTCTAAATTAGAAACTCAAATGGTAAATTATTTCAAAGGAGTTGACGCATTTACAAAAAATTACTAGAATCAATCAATCTATAACTAGCCTTTCTTCTTCCTTCTTTCTTCAGGTGCACGAATTCAGTTTTTTAATTTTCACAGTCAAATAGAATACGATGGTTGTCCAAACGATCATAAGGGAATGGTTAAAGGAGCTAATCATATCTGCACTGACGGAAGCTGCTGAGGGTTTAAGTTGAAACTTCATATCCAAGTATACTTGAAAAGAATTTAAGAGAAACGAAAT